TGCAGATAATTTTTTAATTAAACCCCAGGAAAGAGTTCAAATTCTTGCTTAAAGTTAAATTGTTGTCACACCCGTTACAATGGAATGACCCACTACTGAAGTGAATTAACCAGACAGGGACCTGTGCACTGCCATGTTAATGAGATTGTACATTCCAAAAGCTATATTGATCAAATTAACTATGTTTTGTCACTCGCCTCAGCTAAGTCAAATTTTGAAGACCCACATACCAATTTTCGCAAGTTTTTATAGTTTTTATGGTAAGTTTCGTAAGTCAAACTTTCGGATAGTCTGTATTTAACGAAAAGTGAAGCAATTCTGAGTTAGATGTTTGTTTGGTGCTTAAAGCTCTGGAAAATATCATTAATTTACCAAAAATTTACTGAAAATTTTAATATTGAGTTTGATTGTAAAATGTCAACTTACGGATTCGCTTTATCTACGATATTTTTTAAGAAATAAAATAGGAGAACTTACTGTTGGGTATACCCTCGTAAAATGCGTGGTACAAGTATTTCAACTCCTAAGCCGCTCAAATTATATCCTCGGACATTGCGCTATACTGATATGCAAAGATACAACTACAATAGACACTACTTCGAAGCCCTTTAATTCGAAAAAGCCCTATAATACGAGGGCACGGCTATCCCCTTGAAAAAAAACCCCTTCAAATCGAAAGATTTCAATATATTTTGGTCCCCTCGGTAATTCGAAATTTTGAGCGCGAAGCCCGTTTTCTGCCTTGCTACGGAAGAACGCCGTATAAACATTCGAGAGTTACCAAATTTCCTTCGATCAAACGTTTATTTTTGCGGAACGTTATGATTATTTTTCCTTAAAATTTTCAGGTGAAATTGAGAACAAAATCATCATATCCTGAAAAATTGGAAGGAAAATATTCATAAGTTTACCAGGAAATTCGTGTTTTAGCAAAGGAAATTTGGCAACGCCTGAGGGTTCATACGGCTTTTTTCCTTAGCACGGCAATATTTTGGTCCGGAATTTCGCTCCTACGTCCGGGAGACGACGATTTATCACGTCAAGGACATTCACAAATAATGAGAGTGGTAGCTGCTACTTTACAGATTTAATGAGGATGAAAACAGATTTTTGTAATAAGAAAAATGAAAAATAAAAAATTATGTGTTACGTGTGACACTGGAGGTTTGACGAGCGATGTTATTCTTTGAATCTTCGTGGGGAAAAGTCTTGAGCTGTTTATTAGCGTATTTCGGTGTAGTTTTAGCAGTGCGATGAAGGCAAAACTGCAAATCTACGCCGAGAGATTCCAGCTTATTTCCTCCCCGATGATAAATCGCGATTGAGGCAGTGACTTGGATGGTCTCGCAGCCTTTCATTCATATTCCGCCGTAATATCCCTGTCAGGATAATAGTTTGTTGAGGTTCGGTGGTGGCACAACCGCAACGAAGAGGGGAGGAAGTTGATGCAATGATGCCGGCTTGGGCAATAAATTCTCGCGAGTCGAGCGAATTTCCATGGGAAAATCCAGAGACGAGGCAACGCTAAGTTGATGCAATCGTCATTAATTGATCTCCCCCATCGGCGGCCACAGTCGGGCTAGGCCGTTGCTAAATTGAGCGCTCTGCGTTAATGGTGACATGAATTTATGAGATGGACGTATTCGAGCTAAAAGGAACTACGTGACACGCAAACCCTGTGCACATAGTTCCTTTCAGCATACACGTCCAGTTGTTCTGCGGATGCACATTCGAGGAACTCAAGGGCTGGGTTATTGCTCTCCGAGGAAAAACTTCCGGGAAAACTTGAGCGTCTTTTTAAGTTTTAAAGAGGCGGGTAGGCATGCTTAACTGTCCGAGTTGTTTATGTAAAGCAGTGACTTTTCCTGGATACGAACTTGAGAGACACTGCTTTCTCGCGGAAATTCGGGAGTGGATCAGTATTTTCATGTTGTTTGTGTATTATCAATCATTGATAGATACTCATTGAGAGAACAACGGCAGGGATAATACTGCCGTGCTACGCAAGAGCGCCGTATGAGCCTTCATACGTTGCCATATTTCCTGCGATAAAACGCAAATTTAGCGGGAAAATCGTCAATATTATTTTCCAGACGATTTTATTTGCAATTTAATCTGAAACATATGAAAATTTCAAGGGAAAATGCGCATAACTTTCCTCAAAAATACAGGTTTTATACAGGGAATTTGTACAACTTTCGAATGTTCATACGGCGTTCTTCCTCACGGCAGAATATACTTTAGTTCAAATTTGGCACAATGTCCCTGAATACACACATTTTGCTGCGTGGCGAGTGTCATTTGGCCTACTTCAAAAACTGAAGGCGAAATACAGATCGTATATAGTAAGTGTTACGACAGTGATTTTTATTAAAATTACGGTACCGACTGAATTATTGCAATTTATTATTGCGAAAAAATCACACAAAGACTAACGCTTGTGTGCGATACTGATATACTGTATAAATTTCCACTTCTAGGTAATAGCAGGTGGACAGACGAAAGGAACTCACCCTTCGCTGGAATTTTATACAAAAAATTAGCAAGAAAATTCATATTCTGGAATGTATACTGCTGAATCAATGATGAAAGATATCGTGGCGGATATCGTGTTCTTTGAAAATACAGTTTCAGGTCCGCTGACATTTTTTTAATGATTAAGTGACACGCTTGTTGACTCTTGACCTTGGTAATGATCTGGCATTACACTATACAGAAAATTGTTGAAGAGAAGGGCAATGAAAATTTTAATTCGAAGCCAAACGTAGCGTTACAAACCGATAGAATTTTGCACTGAAAAAACACTCCGGCCGTGGAAGCCGTACTTACGGGCTATATAGAGATACCGTCCGCGTTCCGGGCTCAGAGGCCGAAAGTTCCGAGCGTAGCACCCGGAGCAGTCGAAGTGCTCCGGGTGCTACGCCCGGAACGCAGACGCTATGTCTATATAGCCCGTAAGTACGGCCTCCACGGCCGGAGTGTTTTTTTCAGTGTGGCTTGCTGATTTGCGAGCGATAAAATTAACCGGTGCGCATGCCCGGTGGCGATTCCTTGCGAGTTGGCAAAATCTATTATAAACATCGAAAACCTATATTTTTCAAGGACTTAAATGAAAATAACCTAGTGTTGCCAACTAGCGGGCATGGTCACAGCAGCTGCGAAAAAATTGGAAGTTCTCATGCGAAGTTTCACTGAGCTTCTAATGCGTTTTCAGAGCGATGTAGGATCAAGACCAGTAGCTATGCAAGATTGATCGATCGATTAACGATATTTACCCCCATTTCAAACGGTGAGGAATCGCTTATACTGATCCTTTTCCATATCTTTAAATGGCAGATCAATTGATATATCTTAAAACACGCCACGCCACTGATCAACATGAAACCCTGCATAAAGTTTAGGAAGTTTTACCTCTCCTGACATGAGCGCATGCTGATCAAACGACAATGACCCGTGGTCAAGACAATATATGAGTGTAAAAACTGACCGTTTAGATAACATTTTGTCTTTCGACTAAGATTGCGGAGTTGAAAAGTAATCTTAGTTTGAGTAATGAATTCCTACATTAACTCCTTTTTTCTGGCAAGAGACAGAGTCAATAATTAATAGAACTCTACAGTTTTTGTTGTTTTTTTCTATGGCCAAAATGTATTTTTTTCCAACTCCTTTTATGAAGTACATTATGTTTCATCTTAAATCTTAAAAAACAACTAATCACAATGCATAGGGTTACGGTTTTTCATGGGCGGTGCGGTGGATGCGCATGGGGCTTTGCAGACCATAGCTACCCTTACACTTTATTTTTTTGAACCGAGAGTTTTAATTTTTTTCTTTTCCCCTAAAAAATTAGGAGGACAGGAGGGAAAAGAGATGGAAGGGGAAAAAACGGGAGATTGTGATCGGAGCATAAGAAAGTAGGACGAGACCAATATAAAGAGAGGAAAGTAGACGAGGGAGAAGTGAGGATGAGGAAGAGGGGATGATTCGTGGAAATAGAATAAAAAAGAAAGATAAAGAAGATAAGAAAGGCGAAAAAAGCAAAAAAATAAGAGGAGCAGTGAGAAGAGGAGGAAAGAAACGACTAAAAAGATGAAAAAGAAGAAAAAAAAACAAAAAAAAACGAAAAAAGGAAGAAAGGAAGAAACACGGGGAAAAAATAGGATAGTCGTCACAACCAGCAGTTGGTTAAAAAATGCGCCAGCGACCATGCGGTATCTCCGATAACTACCGCGATAGAGGACGCGACTGACCCGGTAGTTACAACAACTACCAAGGTAGTTATCGTGACTCCCGCACGGTATCCTGCGCATTTTCACTCAGCCGCTAGTGGTGGCGACTATCCTATTTTTCCCGTGAAAATAGGACCAAGATAATACACGAAAAAGAGCAAAACTGTGGTAAAAAACAAGGAGTAACAGAAAGACGATAGGGGTTACTAATTTTTAGTAATTTTGACTCTCTCAGTTGGACGTATTTATGCTTAAAGGAACTACGCGCGTGGAAAGATGGGGTGTGCTCGTGGAAGCTGCATAAGTAACAATGTAAAAGTGGATATAGTTTCTTTTGAGAAAATGGAAAAGCGGGATTTTCAATTAAATCAAAAGGAACTGAGTGCGAACTCGTGAGCCGTGGGCATGTGACAAGAGCGTTGTGGACAGGGCTCATGAGTTAAAGCCGAGCAAGAACGACATTGGAGGCGGCTTCGTTGCCGCTGACGTCATTGGCGCTTTATATTTCCCATTCATTCTTATGGCTTGACCACTAACAAGCACACCTCATCTTTACACTTGCACATAGTGCCATTTAGCAAAAATACGTCCAGTTTATGGACCCCATGCGCCGCCCAATTTTTTTTTATTAATTTTTTTTTTTTTTTTTTTTTAAGATTTGATTTTTTCTGTAAATTTTGAGTAAATTGCCGAGAGATGAATCGTAATAGTGAATTATCTGACACGAATAAAAGAAAAGAGAGGAGGGATTTGAGAAGGTTTTCAACTTACTCGTGCTCGTTCGGAAGTGATGGCGGGGATATCGTTGGGGACTTTGTCCCGTTCCTCGTTCATCGTCGAAATGAAGCGATGTGTCGTTTTGTAAGCCAGTTCCGGGTTTTTCCGACGCCGCGGTAACGCCGGCTCGACTCGTTTTCTCGCTGAAACACGCCAAGGAACTGCATTAGTACACTGTAGTTCTCATGAAACATTAACAGGACAAATCATTTTTCAGGGTTGACACAAAATTTAGAAAATTAAATACCCTGACATTTCCCTGACACATTTTGGTGGAATTCTCTGACAACTGAAGAAATGCCAGATGGTTGAAAAGACAAAATTAGTAATAAGTTCCAGGCAAAATTTGTTGTTCGAAACGTCAAACCCATTCTAAAAAGCTAAAAAAGATGACCTAACAATTTCTCCCTGACATTTTCGTCATTTTCCCTGACATTTCTAGGTTTTCCTTGAATTTTTAAAATTCCCTGACATTTCCCAGTTTTCTCGGTATTCCCTGACTGTATCAACCCTGATTTTTATCAGTTTCGACTTGATTTTTTTTCTTACATTTTTCGAGTTGGAGCTGCAAAGCACGATCCTGATTGGTTACTTTCCCGACTAAAACTTCACGTTTTAAAAGTGATTTTAACTGCAGCCCCGTTAGCTGCTATTAACGGTGAAAGAAAAGAAATGTCTTTGAAGAAATCTTAATGCTCCCAAATCTGTGTCCTGTTTCAGGATGTCCATGGTCCTCTGGTCTTGTGCGGTACGTGAAATTTGAACGTATGAAACGCCTTCAAAATCGAAGGATACTTCCTCGCAACACGCTTAAGTTCGCATAGTCGTCCCACAGCGCCAGTTAGCCAATCTACCCCCTTTCATTCGATCATTCAGAGCATAAAATGATGACACAGGCAAACGTGCTCAAAGTCAACATAAACAAACGCTTAATTGACGTATTTCTATCAAACAGATTTATGTGCAGGTGAGACCCTGATAAAAATTGGCGATAGGAGCTGCGTTTCAAAATACCGTAGGAGTTCTTATAGCCGACTGAAGAAGGCGATAGAAAATCATATAGCTGGCTGTAGAAAGTGGAAAAAATCATACGGCCGGGCTACACGAAGCGATAAGCAATTACACAGCCGGGCTATAGTTCCTATCGCCAGGCTTTACACTTTATCGCCATTGGCTATAAAAGGCTATAAGAAATAGTGTAGAAATTCGTGTGCTTTGCAAATCCTTAAGTTTGTACGGAATCACCTTAATATTTACAAAACGCACTTTATATTTTTCGTTACTACATATTTTTTTCATCAATTAAAATGAGAATAATCCATACAGAGTGTGCAAACATTTCAAAGTCATGAGTTGAAAAAGGCTGACTCCAAGCACGAGATTAAATATTAGAGGCTAACACAAAGCGGAGCGGCGGCACACTGGCGCCTACAAACCTAACAGGGATACTTCACGCATTGCGCAATGCGTGAAGTATCCTTGTTAGGTTTGTAGGCGCCAGTGCGCGTTTCGCGCTGGCTGCCCGTTTCAGTGTTTCTGAGAAGAATTGTTCCTCAAATCAAGTAGAGAAAACGTAAATAAGAGTATATACACGAGCACACATGCATTAAATCGCCATGTTAGTATCAATTAATTTATTTATTTAAAGAAATTTCTGGATGGATTTTCATTATACCATTATTTTCCTTTGCTCATTGTGCCGGAGTAACGTGCTAACTTACTGTTCTAGTTACAACGGAGGGATTGTTGCATCGATCCCGCTTCAACCCTAATATTCTTGCCACCATAAACCACACCCTTCGGAAATAGCTACACGCCGTGCGAAGGGGGGGGGGGGGGGTAGAAAAGGGGGTGGCAATCTGGACAGGGTAGCCAGGCCACGAACAGCCCAGTAAAAAACTACACGTGAAATCGTTTCCCGCCCGTGGCATTAAGACACGAAAAGCAATTCATCTGAACTCATTTGAGCCGGCCAAAAGGTCACGAACAGACGACCATAGATTCAACCACCAACAAGCAACGACCCCACTCCCACTCATACTCATGCGAATGACTATTGATGAATATGGTCAACAGAGAATTTGCAGGTGTCTGAAATTTGATGAATTTCGCGTTTAAGTGGAAACTTCTGAGTGAACTGAATGCGAGGATACCCTTAGTTTAGGAATTGAAAAACAATTGGAGAAAATATGACAAAATTATTTAATCTGCTAAAATACGTGTGTTTAAATGGAAAATGCCGCTAAATGACGTCACTAAGCGGTGCATTTTTTCACTTTGAAATTTATTTTTATAATATTTCCCATAATTAACAGAAAAAAATATAAAAATTACTGTAAAATCAGCTCTTTAAGCACTTCCAGATGAAAGAATAAAAAATATGCATGCGAATTCTCCATTCGGGTACTTTATTTGGATAACTTGATTATTCAAGAATTTCTATATGTCCTCATTTTTATTAAAATTGCATTGTTTTTTAAAGAAGGGGGATGTTGAGAGAAAACACTGTATAAAAAACTTTATAAAAACTTTCCCAATTTCCCATGATAAAGTGCACATTTTTCTTTCTTTTTGGAAACATGTGAATATTTTCCTCGGAAAAATTTCCGAATATTTTATTCGCAATCTATTCTAGCTTATCTAAAAATGTTAAGGGAAAATGTTCGTAACTTTTCACGAAAATTAATGTTTCATTTCGGGCCATTTGTCAACGTCTAGATGCTCTTACGGCGCTCTTCCCCAGTGCAGCAGTGGGCTGATTATTGAAACTTCTAGACAAGCCAATAGACAAAAAAAAACAAAGGGAAAATGAAGCTATCTTATTGGTGGAGGCGGTTGCAGCAATGGACAAATAAGATAAGTAAGATCAAGTGACGGCAACCGGCGTGAGACTCTACTTCCCCTTAGTCTATAAGAACATATGCGGTTCAACCATCAACCAATGAGATTGCTCCGTTTTCCCGTCGTCCTCTTTGTCTATAGCTTTATCCATCAGTTTCAATGATCAGCCGGCAGATTACGCGAGACTGTTAGTTCCAGAGGGCCAAGCTCCGCGCGACTTGGTTCAAAGTCGAAGTTTCTCCTGCGAAACTAGTGAAGGAGAGAAATGTGGGAAACCGTGCGGAAGAATGGGAAAAGCGTTCGCGCAGTTGCCAAAATTCGCAAATGTTATCGATGACGCATCATCATGTTCAAATTAAACTTTTTACTTTGAAAAAGCATTAGAGCCAAATACATACATTCAAATGTTAAAATTTTAAAAATTCTAAGTTTTATGACCCGTGCTGAAAATTTCAAGAAAATGTGCATTTAGGCTCTTAAAATTGTTTAAAATACTAGTGTATGCTGCATATTTTTAAAGAAAATTCTTTTTTACAGGAGCAACAACTTATTTTGTCTTAGATTAGGTAAAAAAATCAAAAATTCAATCTAAGTAGGAATGTTTCACTATTTGCCTGAGCATTTAACAAAATGCCGATTTGACTATTTGCCTTCGACAGATACACTAACGTCTTCTTATGTATACATTAATGAAACATCACAGAGCAAAAAAAGACATATCCGCCAGTACTAACATAAAACATACTTTGAAGAAAACACCGTCCTTGAAGAAAGATTTTCACAGAATTGCCTCTTAGCAAAAATCAGGTGAAGTTTTGAAAAATACGGCAACATTATGTGGCCGTCAAAGCATGCACTGCCACGGACACACGGCAAGGGAGGGGGAGGGGGGAAGGACACATCTCGATGAATACCTTGCGAAAACACTCTCATTTCCATGCACAATGGGTGGTTTTCAAACGTTGAGAATGTGCCGAACGTTGCGCATCGACCATTTCAGCCTCATCCTGGAAAATTGCTTTTATGATCTCAAAATTCCCGCAAATAAATGTGTTTCTTTATCAAAAATCTTTAAATAATTCGCGTCATTGATCCGATGCAGACTCTAAAAGCGCAGGAGTCCACTTATACGCTACTAGGGTGTCTATCAGCTGGAAAAAACCAAAAGGGGCTCTTTTTTTCATGAAAATTGGACATTTTTACCGAGACAGAAGAGAGATAAGCCGCGAGAGAAAGTGACATAAAATGAAAATAGATAAACTCAATACCGAGCTCCCGAAGTTTCGGACCGTTCCCACCGTAAGACGCCAGCGAGGGTTCGAATTCTGCCGCCTCACGCTCAACCGCAGCACCACGAAAATTTGAAATTTTCGGCCGACGATTCTTGGCAGTTTTCGGGGACACCTTTCCAGAATCGGGGACAATCGAGGACTTTGGGGACTTTTGGGGACCGGTAGACACCCTGCCTACACTGACTACATTTTATAATCCAAAGAAGGTGAGGTTTATAATCCAAAGGCTCTATAGATTGCGATCACATCGAAAAAGTATTGCTAGTATATAGAGGTTTTGCGCATGTTGTCTATTCACTATAGATGAAGAGGCTTCTCATATTGAAATTTATTGCAATAAAATTGAAATAATCAGTATATTTTGCATTGAACACCTTTCCTGACCCGTATTTTATCGGTGGTTTAAATTCCGTATTTATTCATAGAATGATTTAAAAATATTGCTGTTGAGTAAGTTTTTATAGTGAGAATCTCACTTCGCTCTCAGTCCACTCGGATTGTTTGGGCGCTGAATATACGTCAGGTTTATAAAAACACAGAATTTTACTTGGAGATTTTTAGCAGTCTACTTTACACCCAAAAAAAAGTTTTGAGACATTATTAGACTTAGAGCGCCGTTGCTTGTCAACGAAATTTGGTTTTTTGGAGTTAAATCCATGCGGATTTAACTTAAAGTCAGTTTTTTAGTTAAAAAAACGTAATTTTGCTAAAGCTTGGTTTAAGATTAGAAAACGATGGCAAAACAACGTTTCTTTCACTCAAAAAAACTGACTTTAAGTCAAATCCTTGCGAAAAGTCAGTGGGATTTAACATATTTAAGTTAGAGCCAGAAAACCAAATGTTGTCGAAAGAAAGCAAAAAACGACGCTTGGTCAAAATAATATTTCAAGAAAAATTGTTTCCCCTGTGCGGCATTTTAGGCGGGAGAAATTGAGGAAAACCCTTCAAGTTGTTAAAACAAACGATGCAACTGGGTGGAGATCCATCATTTTCAGTTGAGATCAGGGACC